ACCTGTTCTCCATTTTTAAAAAAAAGTTTTTTGTGTATGTTGTATATGTGGGGTCTTTTTTTAAGAAATAGAAACAAGAAACTGTAAACTGTCCTCCCTCTGATCAATGGTGTATGATGAGTTACTACATTCTTTTGACACAAGAAATTGAAATGAACTAACCACAAATGCAGGAAGATGAGATCTAAAAAGCAATATGAGGTTTCCTTTTTTCCTTTGCTTTTTTTTAGGTTAGAAATTAAGGAATCATGCTGAATTTCAAATAAGCCTCCTGGTCCTAATACCAAACTGTTGCATATTTTGCAAATTGAGATGCATTTTTATAAACACTTTATAAAATACCTGCTATATAGTGGAAACTGACGGAAAGAAGAAATTCTCACATGATGTTAGAAGAATATCTAGTGGCTTGAAAATAAGGAACAAAAAAATTATGCAAACAGCAAGCATTCATTTTATTGTCAATACTCACAAATAAATAAGTAGTAATAACAGGAAGTCTCAGATGCTTTGAAAACTATTGGAACTGCTGAAATGGCACAGAGTTAGAGAGTTTTAACATGCCTTGATGAACTGTCACTACTGTAAGGGCAGAATTATCTGGACTCATCGCTTGTTTTTGTAACATTGATTTATTATTATCCTAGGGAGATTAGACCATGGTGCTTGGAATTCTAACTGACCCTCCACACTTGGAGATTACTCCCTTATTCTATCTAGCAACTAGAAAGCAGGCAAGCATGTTGGAGAAGAATATTCTCAAATTGCCAGTAAAGTGAAAAACATATATGTGCTCTTTCTTTAAATGTCTTCTTGGTTCTTTGAAAATCATTCATCTTAGCACTAAAACTGCTCCTTGGAGTAGATCTAGTACCCTCTGGGAAAATTTATAAAAGCATTCACCTAGGTCCCCATGAGGCCACTGGGTTTCCAGGGCAATGAGTTAACTAAACAAGCAGTAATCACAAAATGTTAGACTCTGTCCACCCCTTATTTTACATGTGAGAAAACTGGAATCCCAGAGGTTGACAGCCTTGCCCAGGCCACACATGTCACGGGTAAGGCTGGTCCTAGAAGAGTATTTCCTGACCTCATCTAGTTGATCCTTTGATCACAGCATTCTCCCTGGAATTCTATGGTACCCAGCACCCCTCCAGTGCATGGCACATAGCAGACTCACAATAAATGTGCATTGACTAACTGAATGGTCCAGGAGCCTTAATAATTGAAAATATCATTTTAAATTAGTTGAAAGCACTGTAAAATCTGTTTTTCAGATAGGATAGCCAATTGCAACAAGCCCGTTATGAACAAGAGGAGGGGCTGCTAAATAATATAAACAGGAGGAAAGAATTCACCTATAGCATGTAGTAACAAGCTGAAGCATCCCATGATGCTAAGCTGGTAACATGTGACTGTATCAGAATCATTAAGATATCCTTACCTACAATGGAGAAAATGTAGCATGGGATTCCTTTGCTTTCTGCTGCTTTTGAAATAGCAAGTGTATGTTCAGATATGTTCAGAATGGTTCTTTTAGAGAAAAGAGGGTGAAATTTTGACATCAAAAGGTCTTGAGATAACCACAGTAATGAGAATGACCACTGGGAGAAGAGCATCCTTCTTTTATACCGAGTTAGAATATAGCTATTTTGAGCATTTTTATTCAAAAATGGAAATTTTGCTTAATTTCCATTTATCCTGTTCTAAGTCAACCAACCCTGCAAAGCAGAGGCATGATTGATCTTAAAATGTCAATCTCTTACCTAAGGAAAGGAAGAAAAGATTTATTTAAAGAATAAAATGTCACAGGGGTTCTTAGGAGAAAAGCTCCTGGGTTCAGATTTTCTTTGACAGCCAGGCTTCCAAATGAGTAATATTCCCCCTCTATACATTTGTAGCAGCTCCCCAGATAACTATGAGCACAGATAATCAGACTGGCAAATGCTTCCACATTTCAGGGTCCTTTTTGGCAGTTAATCTACCCAGGCACTGACTTTCAGTAGTTTTTGGTACTGAAAGAAAAAGTCCTCAGGACTTTGAGGAGATGATAAAAATTCTGCTCCTAGGTATACTCACCCCGATGAAAATGCATCCACCAGGCTGAGGTTGGGGATGAAGGAGCTGGGATCTAATGTCTTCTGCTTAGTCCTAGGGGACCAGGGAGGCAAGTGAAACCCACCATTTGGAGAGCTCACCTGAGTACAGTTTAAAGGATGAATGGGTACAGAAAACGTGAATGGAGTCATCAGAGAGCCTGATGAATTCTCAGTTTCTATATGCAGTCTTCCCGTTGAAGGTTCAATATACACATTATGCTATATTTCCAGCATCTACAACAGTGACTGCCAGGCATACAGTAAGCATTTGATGATTATTTGTTAAAATATTTCAGTGTTAAAATTAGAGTAAATTTCCCACTGGTTTAGATGCAGACAGAAATTTGAAAATTTACCCATTGTTTTCTGACCTTTCCAGTTAAAAAACAAAACAAACAAGAAATGAATTTAAAGACACCTTGGGCTTTATCTAAATTGGCCTGCTGTTTCAGAAAGAATCTTACTCAAATCACCCTAGATTAATGAACTCTATTTCTAAAGACATTTAGATGGAGAAGGGCTATATATAAGGTCTAGAGACTGGCACATTGGTTTTCTTTGTGTGAGGATAAATAATTCCTGCTTTTCAGGTATTCTGTATTTTCCAGATGATGGGCAAGATTAATGGTGACTGTTGCCATTGTTCTGAACTAGCTAGAAGGACCTCTTGTCATCCTGACAACCTGGAAAACTGTATCTGTCTCCTCATCCCTGCAGTCATTACAGAGAAGCAAAAGGCAGAGAGGAGAACCACTGCCACTGCAGAAAACCAGACTAAGGAAGAACCACTTTCAAGATGGGAATCTGCAGTCTGCTCTCACTCTCAGGGAGCCTGAAGAATAAGTCAGTCTCTCCAAGGACCATCAGGCTGCCAGAACCGAAAAACTGTTATTTGTCTCCTCTTAAAGATGGGGAGGGACAGACGGCACAGGTGAGAACACAGCTGTATCTGGCTATACTGAAACCTCTGGGAGAGCATGGCCCCAAGAAAGAGAAAAAAAGGGTATGGGGCCTGCAGCGGCCTGAATATTTTCAACACCATTTCTATTTTGAAATCCTAACCCCCCAATATGATGGTGTTAGGAGGTGGGGCCTTTGGGAGGTGCTCAGGTCACAAGGTAGAGTCCTCATGAATGGGATTAGTGCTCTTATGAAAGAGACTCCACAGAGCTCCCTAGCCCCTTCTGCCACAGGAGAACACAGTGAGAAGTCGGCATCCTGGAAGAGAGCCCTCTCCCAGCCAGGCTGGCACCCTGATCTCAGAATTCCAGCCTTCAAATCTGCGAGCAATAGATTTCTGCTGTTTAAAAGCTACCTAGTCCATATTGTTATAGCAGCCTGAACTGACTAGGACAGGGCCAAACTAAGAATGTTCCCAGTAAGTTCTCTAAAGAATAAATCTACCAGGAAGCCACCTATTCCCGGTTTCCAGACAATGCAAGGTTCATTCATTTATTTATTCATTCAACAAATACAGCAGCTCAAACCAATGTTACAGATTGGCCTAGCAAATATCTCTGCTTCTTGGCAGAGAATCAAGCAAGAAACTTACATGTGATTTTGGACTATTCTTCTAAATAATTTCTGTAGGTTACATAGCTACATGCTTATGGTTCAAACATACTAAGGATAAAGGGATTATTCTCAAAATTTAAAAATTATTTAAAAGGACTGGAAGATTTTAAATTGAACAGAGAGCTTAGCATGAAGTCAGGGTCTGAATGTACCAAAACTGCTATATCTTAGCAAATTTACTCCCTAATGGATGGCATAATCTATATGAAAGTGAACATGCACAGGCCTTTGGCTCCCTAGTGGTTGCAGGGTAATACTCCAATTTATTTGGAATCTGCCAAGGAAAGAGTTTACCCTTTCATTCATGTCTCATTTTCTGTTTTTGAATTTTTAATAAATTTCATTGATTCTTGACCATTTTTCTATGATACACTGAGAAAAGTAAATTAAGTGTTTCAGCTTTTTCTCTGACACCCTCCATAGAGTTTAATGATATTGCTTTTCCTTTGTACAGTTCTCAGGTGCTGTTTTCTCCCCTTTGTGTCAATGACTCATCATAGGAACAAAAAGGTTCCCATCCATCCCTTACTTGGCATCTATTTGGCTGTAAGTGAAGACACAGGCTTTATCCATAAACTGTTGAAGTCAGATTGTTGCAGAAATATGAATTAACTGCAGAACCAATGCAATTCTGTTACCAGGAACCAGAGAGTTAAATCCAGGATCCAAAGCAATACCGATTAGCAAAAGTGCTTGGGATTTCTATCTGAATCATGGTGGGGTACTAAGGTGTAAGGGGGGGTGTGAGATGGAGAGACAGAAAACCTCATCACAGCACGTGGTAGTTTCTCCTTAGGTGAGACTTGTGGCTCATTGTGCCTGTCAAGTAGGCTAATGTGCCTGTAAATTTCCTCTGGCAGAAAACACATCACAGTAGCAGCACCAGAAAACAACACAACCAAACTGTGGAAGACTGAAAGCCCAGCGCTTTTCAAGGGTAATCAGAATATAACAGAGTGAAAAAAACACAAGGCGTTGAAAATAAACAAAGGCTAGGAAGAAATGAGATCACTTTCTAAGAAAAAGCATTTATTATTTATAGACCAAAGGAAATGCTTCTCCTACAGCTATTTCTTGTATATTATTTGGCAGTCTCAGTTCAAGGTCAAAAATATCAAAGGGCAAAAGAAGTATGACTTACAATTTAAGATTTGTTGTGACTGGCTTTGTAATTGCATAAATATTAAATATGTCAAAATAATTATAAGCACATTATCCAGATCTCCACACATTGCTTTAATTTTTAATGTAATCTTTTATCTGTCTTTTCCTCAGCTGACTGTGGATCTGTGATAGCTAGAATGAACTGTTGCCATCAATTTAGTAATGAAGTTACTCATTGAACAGAAGAGGCTGCTAAAAGATTATACAAAGCTGCAGAAGTGTATGGAAATGAAATTTTATGTTTCAGGTAAATGGGAAGTTTATTTTAGAGCACACTTCCCCATTATAAATTTAATATAACCACTTTAAAATAAATTTGGAAAACAGAGAAGAGAGGGGAAAAAGCACCTAACAGTGCTGCTACCATCAACCTAACAGTGTTTTATCTATTTTTAATTTTTTTAAATAGGATTTTTCTTATTGAAGTATAGTCAGTTTACAATGTTGTGTCAATTTCTGGTGTACAGCACAATGTTTCAGTCATACATGTATATACATATACTTGTTTTAATATTCTTTTTCACTGTACGCTACAAGATATCAAATATAGCTCCCTGTGCTATACAGTATAAACTTGTTTATCTGTTTTGTATATATCTGTCAGTATCTGCAAATCTCAAACTCCTAATTTATTCCTTCCCACCCCCTTTCCTCCTGTAACCATAAGTTTGTTTTCTATGTCTGTGAGTCTGTTTCTATTTTATATATAAGTTCATTGTCTTTTTTTTTTTTAAGATTTCACATATGAGTGAAATTATATGGTATTTTTCTTTCTCTTTCTGGCTTACTTCACTTAGAATGACATTCTCCAGGGCCATCCATGCTGCTGCAAATGGCATTATTTTATTATTTTTTTATGGCTGAGTAGTATTCCATTGTATAAATATACCACAACTTCTTTATCCAGTCATCTGTCGATGGACATTTAAGTTGTTTCCATGTCTTGGCTATTGTAAATAGTGCTGCTATGAACATTTGGGTGCGGGTGTCTTCTTGAATTAAGGATCCCTGGATATGTGCCCAGGAGTGGGATTTCTGGATCATATGGTAAATCCATTTTTATTTTTTTGATGAATCTCCATACTGTTTTCCACAATAGCTGCACCAAACTGCATTCCCACCAACAGTAGTCCCTTTTCTCCACACCCTCTCCAGCATTTATTTTAACAGTGTTTTGTATTCTGGTCTTTCATCCAGGTGCATTTACATTTTTATCATAGATGTAATCACAGTTCTGGGTCTGTGTATAATTTTTCATCCAGATTTTTCTTTTATTAATGTGGTTTTCATAACTATAACTTCTATGACTGTAAAATAATAATAATAAAAAGGGTCCAAAATTTACTCACCCACCAAATTTCTGGTGGCTAGCATTAGCAGAATAGTTAAGCAAAAGACACTGGAGCCAGATGAATCAAATACAGCTACCTAACTGTGTGGATTTAGTCTGGCTAGTAAAGGCTGTGCCTCGGTTTCCTTATCTATAAAATTAGGATAATAATAGAGCCTCTATTAGAGTGTTCCTATGAGCATTAAATTAAAAAATCCATGGAAAGCACTTAGTCTGTCTCTATTATACAGTAAGTACTAAAACTAAGTGTTATTAAAGACAAAAATATCAAATATATTACAGTGGGTTAAAAAAAAAAGCTTGAGTTCTACAAAACTGAGTATCCTAAGATACTACCATCATTCCAGACATTTCCACTTGCCTTTTCCTAGTAACTCCCCACCTCTACCACTAACCAGACTTAGATAGTTAATACTCCCTTGTTCTGTTTCACACTTTAACATGTAAGTATGCTTCCTTAAAAATATAGCTTAGTTTTGCCTGTTAGTGAACTTGATATAAATGGAATTACACACACACACACACACACACACACACACAATATCACTGAACTTAGGAAGCATACAGTCTAAGGCTTGGTTATGTTGTGATAAAAAAAAAAAAAAAGCTTTGGACAGTGAGCCAGAGAACTTGGCTTCTAGTCTAGTCTCCATGAGATCTTGCGCAAATCTTTTTGCCTCTCTGGGGCCTCCATGTAAAATGTTTGGATGTGCTAAGTAAGTGTCTTTGGAGTTTTAAAGTACTAAATTGTTAAGCCCTTCCTAGTTGAGTACTGTGTTGGCATATGAGAAATCAGAGCCAAAGAGAATCCTGAGAAAGGCCTGGGGCTTGCTGGAAGTAAGCCTCCTCTTCTAAAAAATCATGCCAATAACAGTGTCAGCAAATGACAGGCTTAGAAAAGCGAAAATGATGATTCTACATCACAAATAATTTTCCTGTCTCTGATATATGTACATTTAGATATCATATTGGCCTTAACATACATAGGGAATATTTTCCCCAGGATAAATCATAGCCGTTAAGAGTTGACTGTAAGGACTCTGGAGTTCAAATAAATAATCATGTAGTAGAGGTTTTCCTGGAGAGAGTCAGTTTTAAACATTTGAACCTATTATTTCTGTGTAAGTATTTGTATTTCACCAAATACTGCCTGGGGTAAGTACTGCAGGTTGGGTCACTCAAAAGTCCATTCTACATTCTTATTATGGCAGCTTTCATAATGCAGAGACTGGAAGCTAAAACATTTCCTAAAGTTCTTTGCACCTAAGGCTATGGGTATGAATGAGGTCTGTCAATTAGATATACTCATGCAAGATTTAGAAAACAGAGAAGTTGAAAGCATCCTCATGACCACTCTGACTGTATTTCTTTATAATTAAGGTCACAGGTAAAGTGTTCTGGAGCAATGTTCCATGGTTCACTATTTAACCTCTTGGAAGCCAATAGGCAATTGTGGCAGTAGTGAGAGCAGTAGCTTTTTGACTCCACCTTCTATCATAGGGTTGTGTCATTGAACCCAGTGTTCCAGTCATCCTCAGCAGTAATAGCTCCACTGATAGGTCAACTCTGTATTGTGCTAGAATCATTCATTCTTAGAGGCCTAGTCTGTTAACTAATTTCTCCAGTCCTGCTTAAAATACTTAGAACTGTTTCTATTTATTTACACTGAACCTTGACCAATACACATCCTAGACGTTACTTCAGAAAATCTGTTTACTGTAACACAAGGTACAAAGTATTATAACTCTATAAAATGATATAGCAAACACAGAAGGGGTTTTGAAACCAGAAAAAATAAGCTATACCATATATGTATCCTAAAGCAACTTATTTAACCTCTGTGTATCAAAGTTCCCTTGTATATTTTTTAAAATTCATATATATGTATATATAAAGGGAACTTAGGTATACATACATGTATGTGCACATACACGTATACATACACATACATATATATATATATGAAATAGATATCAATATACTAATCTTGCAGAGTTATAAGAATTAAATGAAGCAACACACATAAAGTACCCAGCATTGAATGGTCACTCACCGTACAGTTCATTTCTTTCTGTCCTCTTATTGGATATCCTTTAGTAACTGAGGTGAATGGTAAAGTAATATGGGAGGAAATTCTCTTTAAAAAACTTTAAAAAATGTATAGGAACATAAAGATTTGGCACACAAAGATCTGATTCACAAAGATGAGAGGAATAGCTTTAATTGCAGCTGAAGAGCAAACAGACTTCTATTATGAGTACCACCAATTCACCTTAACTTGTGGCTCAGGGCTCAGATAATCTGTTAATTAATCCAACAAGTATTTACTAAGCCTCAACACTGCTAGACACTCCTTTACTCATTAAGACACAGTGGTAAATCAAAAGGTCCCTGACTTCCAGGAGCTTGCATTCTATTGAGAGAGATAGTCACAAAATAAGTCAATAAATAAGTTTAAATGAGAAGGACAATGAAAAAGAGGCATTCCTCCTTTAGCTCTCTTTTCCTTACCTTGCCAGAAGTTTATTATGTTGGCTGGCTCACGCACTCTCTCAGCTTCCTTCCATGGGAGGAGAGGCACAGGGAGGTGGAGATTATGTCAATAATGTCCAGATTCTCTTAGGTAGGTGAGTAGTTTCAGGATCTGTGAAGAGTCTGGGGCCTGTTACCATTTCACAGATGCCAGCAGAAAACACAAGATGCCTGGACTAGAGAGAGACAAAGGAGCATGTCAAAGCATTGGCACAATGTTGGCACTAGTTTCCCATGACCTCTCAAACCCCATGGTGTCCAAGGGGAAGGGTCCACATAGACAGTAGTTTTCTGTCACAGCTAAGGAATATTAAACTCAGGGAATTTACTGCTTTTATACTGTTTGGTAAGTGAGCCTGCTCTTTGTTTGGGAGAAGATATTACTTGGTTGCTTGCTGCAAATGCAACCCTGAGAAATGACCCAAGTAAAGGGTAGTTTGGGCTCTATATCCTTGGCATACCCAGAAATAATGTGTAGAAATAATGTGTTGGCAGATTGCTCTTCCCAACAGGTGGAGGGGAGAAAATAACTGAATTCTCCATTCTTTATAGTTTTATGCAAACATAATTACAAAATTTTCTAAAGTTCTTAGAACTTTGTTTCTACCCTCTTCCAACCTTTCACCCCAGATATGATGTATTAGGCACTTGAAGACCTCAGACATATTAGAGTAAAAGTTGACATGGGAAGACAGAAATTTTCCGTTATTACCAAATATAACCTGAGGTTTTTGCATGGATATACAGCCTCTCATCTCCGGACCTCACACCTTCTAGAAACCTCACCCCAGGCTCTTTTCCTATTTAAGATAACATTGAGTGCTCATTTTAACAAATCTCCACTGCAAAAAACGTATTTAAGTGGGAGAGGGGAAGGGCAGAGTATACGCTCTCAGTCCTGAGCACTCCTTGTATGGCCATTGCTCTTGGATCCTGGTAGGAAAGGCCCTTCATGGATCATCCTGAGTCCATTTTCCTTGGGCTCTCAAGCCAGGGAGAGAAAATTGCAGACTTGCTCTATAACAAATCACTGCTGTCCCATTATCTATGTGGACTTCCCACTTTCCACAGTGACTATTTCAAATGTTCTCTACCCTACTCACCCCTTCATGGAACCCATCTTCCCCTTTCCCAGAGAAAATGGAAGGCATCTGGGTAATGCTCTCCTAATATGCCATTTGTTATCTCTTGTAATCCTACAGCAAATGCTGAAGCACAGCTATTATTATCCAAATGTGGTAATGTTAGAAAATGGAGTTTTGGAGATGTTATACAACTTTCTCCAAATCACAAAAACTGTGTGTCCTGGAGAAGGAATCAGAAGAAATCTTTATGGCATGGGACCCTCCCTCATGTAGGCTTCTAGAAGTGGGAAAATAAAACTTCTCTGTTTGTGTGTGTGTGTGTGTGTGTGTGTGTGTGTGTGTGTTCCTGTAAGAGTCTGTAGCCTCCTAAGCCACAGTAATGTGTGCACTATAGACAATGTTCGCTTTCAGTTTTCCTAGAAACATTTTCTCCTACCATAAGGATTAGATCTGTAGCTACCTGTTTCCCTAATGACAGAGCTAATTGCTATGATCCAAAGGGTTAATAAAAACTCCTTTATCTTCCCCAAAGCAAAAATTTATATCCTAGGGAAGGTACCTAGGTTAGTTCTGAAGGTCCTGGGGAGACTGGAGTGCTATCTTTCTAGTGATTTAAATTTCAAATAGAAATGAGGCCCTGGAGCTAGAAGACATCTGGCATAAGGAGACACTTTCAGGAGAGGTGGAGGGCAGCTGCCTCTTTTACTTTTATAAGGAGAAGAATCCTTTTCCCTTGTCCCTTGTCTACAGAGTATCTGGCCACTCACGTAAGAAAGCTTCCATTGGCTTTCATCACTTGGTCCCAGGGGTAAGGCCTGGGGCAAGCTGAGAGAGGGAGCATGCAGTTCCTACTGTGGGATAATAAGAAATCTGCCTCTGATCCAGAACACCTCATGTGCCCATTCAAGATGAAATGAATAAAGATGAATATGAAAAACCCAACCCTAGACAACTCAGAAGAGGGAAAAGGACACAAACACTTCCAGACCATGAGATAAGTAGCTATAAAAAACACCTGGTAATATTTGAAGAGATAGAGATAGAGAGATAGTGTTTGAGTTTCCCTGTGTGGAAGGAGGAATTTGCTGGCGGACAAGGGAACTGAAGGACATTCCAAACATAAAGAATTATACCATGGATTTGAGGTGTAACTTTGTTCAAGTTTTTATAAAATTGGCTCTTCTTCAAGGTAGTAATTTACTTCTGTCTGTCACAAAATTTTCCTTTTATATTGATTTTATTAGAATAAGACAATCTACTGCCATCTTCCAGAAAACAGTTCTAACTATACAAACTGACAATATCAGCAATATGTATGGCACTTCTTGGAGATGTTCAGTGTGCTGTCTGCACAACCATACATAGTAGCCCTGTTTGCTTGGCCCATTAGAGAGAAGGGAAGTGGGTCAGCATAACCAGAGTGAAGACTATATGTGAAAGCGCAATAGGAGATAAGGCTGGATAGAAAGGCAGCAGCCAGACTCCTGGGTGTACATCACCCCAGAAAATCAAAACCACAAATTCAAAAAGATACATGCATCCCAATGTTCATAGCAGCACTATTTACAATTGCCAACATGGAAGCAACCTAAATGTCTATCAACAGATAAATGGATAAAGAAGATGTGAGATATATATATATATATATATATATAGAATAGAATACTACTCAGCCATAAAAATGAATGAAATTTTGTCATGTGCACCAACGCAGATGGACCTGGAAGGCATTATGCTAAGTGAAATACGTCAGAAAGAGAAAGACAAATACCATATGGTATAATTTATATGTGGAATCTAAAATATACAACAAACTAGTGAATAAAACAAAAAAGAAGCAGATTCAGATATTGAGAACAAACTAATACTAACTAGTAGTGGGGGGGAAGGGGCAACATACTGGTGGGGGAGTGGGATCAGATAGGCTCAAGGGTATATTGTGAAATAAGGGAATATACCCAATTTTTGGAATAACTTTAAATGGAAAGTAACCTTTAAAAATTGTATTAAAATTTAAAAATTAAGAGGAAGAAAGGCAGAGGTCAGAGCTTGCAGGAACTTGGGGTCCACACTAATGTGATTAGAATCAAACCTGAAGGTGCTGAGAAACTACTGATGGATTTTAGGCAAGGATATGTCATTGAAATTTTTTAAATTTCACAAATATGTGAAAGTGGTGACATTAGGGCAAGATAGGCAGGAGACCTTGTAAGAGACAGACCGTAAGATAACAGGAACACCATGATAGAAAAGGACATGGAGGAGGCTTCTTTGGTCCCAGGGTGGGAGTGGGGCATCTTCCTTTCCAGAGTGATTCTCTCCACCAGAGCTACAGACCTCCAACGCTCCATCTTCTTCTCTACCACCTTGATCTTCTACTTAACTCTTTTTCCTGTGTCTTCAATCTCTCTCCACTTGCTTCATCCCTATAGCCTTTGGTTGCCCCAAAATGTCAAAGTCTTGCTTCTGCTCACCCCTACTTTTTCACATGAGTATATCCCCGTGAATTATAGCAGCTTTATTCATCCTTCAGACAGAAATTCCTGCCCTTCTAAGTAACAAGTGGCTGAGCAGCTCCTAAGCAGCAGTGTGGTGGCTAAAGATTCACAAGGATCACAACTGAAGCTGCTAGGTTGGCATACCACACTGAGAGATTCAGCCAGTAAGATGACCACAGGCTTATCTGGATTCAGATGATTTATTACTTGCATAGCAAAAAAAAAAAAATACCAGCAGGGTGTCACCTCCCCACATCTCTAGTCCCCCTGGATGACAATGAACTGGAGGGACCCAATGACAAAGACAGTAGTGATGGTTGATCCGTTACTGAGAAGCCATCTAAACTACAGCCGGGCATTTTCTAGACTTATATAGAAGCTTGCAGCTGTATCTGGAGGAAGGTGGGGTTAAAGTCCTGTGCTTAGCTGAAATTAGGGAGTTGGATGAGAAATGGTTTTATGGCAGCCTCTTGGCAGCTCTTCACAAGAAGCTTATCTTCCCCTGGTCGAGGAGGAATTGCGGGGCATTCCACTAAGACTCTGGTCAGACTTGCCTGTCTGGCCAATGTAAAGCCATGTAAGGTTATGAGGAGGCAGAGCTGTCTCTCAGTAACTCTACCCCTGACCTTTTATATACCCAAGAAAGAATTATTTTCAGGAGTTTAGGTCCCCATTAGATTACCTACTTAACTGATAAATTGCAGGTGCTTGGACCAAATATTTTCCATTTGCCTTAGGCTACCTCAGATGAGACTGACCCCAACTCTGACCCCTAGCAGGATGATATGACCTATTTGAAGGATAAATTGCAAACAGGCTCCCCAACCAGAGCCAAGCCAGCTAGGCACATCTCAGGTGCCTCTGAGATAGACCTAAGAGAGCCACACTGCTTTCTCTCTAAGGTAGGAGATAGACTGTCCCACCTTCCCTGATTCAGTAAGCCAAGCGCAGCAACAGGTGTCGCCATTTGAATGTCTTTTACCTTGACCGGCCAGCAGGAGTTCTGGAGCAATGTGATTGTCTATAACCACCAGCATTAAAGACTTTAGACTGGTTTTTGTCAGGCAAGTATAGGCCTGATGTCCACACAAGCAGTATCCTACTGGAGGCATTAACTGTATTAAGAGTGATAAGTATCTTTTATTGGGGTGAGTCAACTTTGTGTTCCTTGTGATATATAAACTCCTTGGTTATAGCTAAATTATTCCTGCAAAACAGGCTTGGAGTGCTTCTGAGAACTATCTGGCTAGCATAGCCAACCAGCCTAGTCCCTCACAATACGCACTGCTCCAGGTAAACTGGATTCTGCTAATAGGTTTGTAGTGACTTCAGCAACAGCATTTTGCTGACATGGGGGTCAACGTTTGATTTTTCAGTGTCCGGAAGAACATTTGTTAAGCCTTTAGCAGTAGGGTCAGGTGGGAGTGACAGATGCAGCCATCACTCAAATTCAGAGTAGTAGCTATGGTCTGGGGAAAGCACACAAGAGAATTTTGGTTTTTTCTTAGCTGGTAAATAGAGAATGCATGAGACTGACAATAATACCAGGCTAGGGGGAACCATATTAATGTCCAGAAAATTAATCTTGTTCTGTCATCAAGGCTGGAAGTCATCAATCTGAAAGGTCAACAGTCCTTAGTTTAAGATCTAAGGACCCAGGATCTAAGTTAAGAATGGGTATTCAGTGAGCAAAGCACTCTGAGATGCCAGGCCCTGTATGCTGCAGGTAAGAGCCAAGAAAGGTTAATGGGTCTTCACCCAGTCCTGACTTCCTGAGGTGTAGGGTGTTCCTTTTCTACCAGCTGTGTCATTGCTTCCCTTCAAGAGCCACATAATTGGTATGACCAGTCTCTGCAGCAATCACTTCACTATTTTTTCCAATTCTATAATGTCTAACTCACATCATTTGCTTGGATTTCTCTCTCAGTGGCTTTTTCCTTGTATACCTTGTACCATCCTTGAACTTATCCCACCCCTGAGGTTGTCATCTCACACTTCTGATTATTAGCTGATGCCTTTTAGTTCAAATAATCTTCTTAAGTTGTGTAAAAATATTTGCTACTTCCTGCTCATCAGATCCAATCAGCATACTGTTGTCATTATGAACAACCAAAATGAACCAGTGTGATGTTTTGTGGCCTGTCAGGACGATCAACATTTCTGCAGGCTATATTAAGGAGAACTGATGTGTCCCTGAGGCAATACTGTGGAGGTATATTTGTAACAGGGAAGAACAAATCTGACTCCATATTGGATGTTTCTTTTTCTTTAACCTTTGTATTATTCTACTGCTTTTGCTGTAAGTTAAGAATGTTGCCTATAGGATGAAATATACAGGATAGCCCATTCTTAAGGTTCTGATCTTTAAAGGTATAATGCTTTTCCATTCATATAGAGATAAAAACTTGCAGAACAGAGAGTAACATTTGCCTTATTGGAGGGTTACAGGAACATCGGGGACTGACCTATGTGGGCAGCTGCAAGAACAAAGGAATCCAACACCAAGATGTTTGTGACAACCAACCACTCCCCCTCCTCTTTTAGTATAAAAGAAGCCAGAATTCTAATTTGGGAAAGATGATTCTTTGGGACACTAGTCCATTTTCCCAGTCTGCTGGCTTTCCAAATAAAATCACTATTCCTTGCCTGAACAACTCATCTCTTGATTTATTGACCAGTCATGAGGTGAGCAGTATGGGCAAGGACTCAGTAACATATTGTTGGCCCAGTTAGGTAAAAGCCAGCTGCTTCTGGTGGTTTTATAAATAAGTATAGAGAAGACAGCATTAGCCACGTCAGTAGCTATACACCAAGTGCCAGGTGCTGTGTTGATTTGTTTCAGTAAAAATACTGCAGCTGGGGACAGCAGCCACAATTAGAATTACTCCTGATTAATTTTATAATGTCCATACTCATTTTTCAGGATCTACTTCTGCACTAGCCGAACTGGTGAGTTAAATGTGAATGTGGTAGGTATCAGCACTGTTGCTTTTTTCAAGTCTTTTATGGTGACATCGTTAACAGGGAAAAACAAATCTGACTCCATATTGGAACTGTTTCTTTTACTTTAACCTTTGTATTCTATTGCTTTTGCCACAAATTAATCATTAAAGGGATGTTGCCTATAGTTTAAAGTATACATAATAGCCTATCTCCAATATCCCTGCCATCTACACCACACATTTCTTTGAGACAGGCTTGAAGAAACATTTACATACAAGGTTGTTCCTTAAGAGACACAGACTCTCCTTCAGTCAAGGGGTTCTGGGCCTGTGAATTGATATAGGTCTAAAAACTGAGTTTGAGTCCACAGTGGTGACTCAGGTCAGATTTTAGCTACCTGATTTAGAGCTTTTCCTGTGATAAATATCAAGCAGTACTCTATTAGGTTGCCTATCTATTTGTTCCTAGGGCATCTCTGTGGGCCAAGGCAGTCTTATTGCCTGTATATACTTGCTGCCCTTTAATAAGGCAAATGTACCCACATTATCTTCGGTGGCTAAGCACTGCTTGGCCTCTGCTGTTCTGGGATCCTGTCATTCCCATTAATATCAGTGAGTCCACCTCAATAGTCATACATTCTGTAGTCATACATGGCCTACAGAGGGCAACATCCACAGAAATTTTCAAAGATGCATCTCTTTCTCTCACTAACATATTTCTCAAATCTTCAGTGAAGGGAGTATCTTCTGGGCCTTTCCCTGGAACATATTTGGGGGATGGGTATGCATGTTACATGTAGTAAGTTCAATATAATATTTCCCTAAACTTCAGAATTCTCTGTTTCACATCACATCAGGGAAGCTCTGGCATTTCAACCTCACAAACTCTAGGCAACTGTTGAGTCTAAGTTTCTATCAATCAATCAAGTAAGCTATGAGAACCACCTCTAGCTGCATGAGCTAACACATATGATTAACACCTTAACAATAAATTTGGCTCAGTATAGTGTTATATTCCATCCTCCATCATCTAACACCCATAGAATCCACTCCCACACATGTTCTCCAGGTTTCTACCTATATATTAGCAAAGTCTTTCGGTTATTTTGGTAGGGTACTTCTTCCTCCATTATAGTGTGCACTTATCCCCCAGGAACATGCTGAAATCTGATTCTAGTTGTAGGAATACCAGCAGTAGAGGGTGAGTACAGTCGGTTTTGAGAAGTATGTAAATTTCCTCTCAGGACATCAGCCCCAGATGAATTTTCAAGCAGAGGAAGCCTCAGAAACTCAAGGGCAACTTACTTCCACTAGTAAGGGTGGAAGTGACTTTGGGGTACAAGTTTTTCAGTTTCATCTGGGTCTAACCCACTCCAAGTTTTGGGATCCTATTATTTAACAACATCCTAACTTTGACAAGAGATACTTAACACATCTGTGAATTCAACAGTAGCTGTAATTCAGTAACCTAAAAATTAAAATTTTGTGTTTCATCTTCAGCAATATCATTTTGTTGCTACAATCAGTAAGAGTTGTTTGCTTTTTGTTTTTGGGCTTTTTGTTTTTTAGAATCATATGAAAGCTCCTGGGGTCTCATATGATAACTTTGAAGATTGCTTGTAATTTGTCTGTAAGCTAGGAACTCAGAATCCATCTTACACCATAGTGCCTATAGTCACTTTATAGCCATAACAGTCTAGTGTAGCTGCCATTTGGGGACTTCAAGGCACTTGGTACTTCATCACATCAGCAACAGATGACTGACTGTGATGCCCTAATTAATTACTAGCATTTTGTTGTCAATGAGCTCAATACTAAGCTCCAGCACAGAGGTCCAATCAAACCAAAATCCTATTCCCATCTTTGCAGGTGTATCTCTTAGAGCTACAGGTAAAGCTGAATAAAAATTAAAAGCTTAATAAAAAGTATTATTTCCTGTAACAGTGTTTTGAAGTAATGAGAGCTTCACTAGTGAGAAAAGAATCATAGAGAAAATAGAAATAGCAGCCCTAAGGAGCTAACCTGATAATTAACCCTTGGGCTGGGAGGCAGAGTTTCCAAAGAAGAGCTCCCCCAACCCTTTTCTGTGCTAAGACAGAGACGTAATTGGAGAGGGCACAGCCTGGCTCAGTAAATGGCACAGAAGTCATTGTGGAACCACACCTGCAGAACTTGCTGGGAATTGTTCCTCTGGAATTTGCTGCAAATCTTGCCTCTAGGGTGCTTGGAAAGCTATTCATAAGGTAATGTCTCTCTTTAGGCCCTCCACTACAAAATGACTAGAGTTGAGGGTGTGGGAGGAAACTGCTGGTCCCTGAACACCACAGAAGTTTGGCACTGGAGAAAGCCAGGTAGGTATACCACAAGAGCCTGCCTACCAATACACCAAAAACACTTTTTCTCCTGTAACGCCTCCTTAGCACGCTCTTCTGACAAAGCTTCAGCCTCTGCTGACCAAGGAAAACTTACTTTAGAAGGCCCAGATCCATTTTCACTGCGCAGTCAAAAAAGGGTGAATTTGGAGTTGACAGCAAGAAACCAGTAACCAGCACAAGCATCACTTCTCAGGCTCCCCTCACAGATTTTGTAGCCAGAGTTCTACACCTGCCTGGAGGGTCCTTTGGCAGGCTCCTTTCCCTCAGGTTTCAGAAGTCACCAGCAGCAACGGAGGAAAAGATGAGTCTGAACAGAATTCGCAGCCCCCTTTCTCCTCACCGAGTTTCCGTCCAAGGCACGCCAGGCCCGGGATCTCAAGGAAAGGAAACCTGGGCAGCGAAAAGGAAACCGGGAGAAAGCTCAGCGGTACAGGGGCTGCCGGCGCCCTCAGGCCTCTCAGGGCCACAACTCCAGCAATACCCCCTCGCGGGTCACAAAAGCCCTCTGAGGTCTTCCCACCGCAGGAGCCCAGGAAGGCGGACGCGGGGCGGGCCCCGCGGGCGGCGCGTTGTGATTGGGCGCCCCGGAGCCCGCCCCCTCATGCCGGAGCGTCGGGAGGGGGCGGGGCCAGCCGCCTGCTCGGCTCCGGGTCTGCGGGCGCCTATCGACCCAGAGGCCGCTGCGCCGCGGCTGTCTTCTGCTTGTGGCGGGCAGTGCGGGAGCGCAGAGTGGCGCTGGAGAACCGGCGTTTCCTTTCGCAGCTGCCTCCGCCATCTCCGCGTTTGCGAGGCTGGAGGTGGGGAGGGGACTCGCGGCTGCAGCTGGAACGGGCTTCTCTCCGGGGACAGTCCTTCCTTCGCTCTCCTTTTCCTCCTCCGCGCGCCGCCACCGCCCGCCCCCTGCGCCCTCCCAGCGCAGTCCGGGTCCAAGAGGGGAGAGGAAGGGACGGCGGGGGGCGGGAGAGGCAGGCGGGCGGACGAGCGCTCGGAGGAAACTCCTGCCCGACCCGTGCGTCCCCGCGCCCGGGGTGTACCCT